GGTTTCACAGGAATCGTAAAGTGTTCTTAGTGCTTTCACATTGGACGAACTTCTAACAGGTTCAAGATTCAATAGTTTATTCATGTGCGAAGATATTACCAAATCTGTTCGTCCGAATCTTTCTTTAATTAAACTTATAGAAGCGTCATAATTTTCATTAGATAGTGCACTTAAAGTAGGTTCTTCGAGTAAGGATTTAAGATAGGTAAACTTCTCGACCTTTGTTAACTCATTATTATTATCAATAGCATTTTCAAAAGAATTATAAAATTCCAAAAATAAACTAGGATCACCATAATATTTAGGAACTGAAATTTTAGGTAACCGAATGTTAGTTTTGTTTTCGACCTTTACGGCAGCAGTATGGTTACCAGGCGATTCATTTTCAATGTTCACTATCTGAGAATTTAAATTAAGTTCCTTTTTAGCCCTAAAAATGCATAAACTCATTTTTTCATCATACTCTAACACAGTATTACATTCTTTCTCAATTTCAGACTCATTCCTTTTAAAACAATCCAGTATTTTCCCATTAAATTTCTTTCAACGCAGACTGTTTAGAAGTAACACACTTTCTTCTACCATATTCTTATTCCAAATGTCTTTTTTAATTTCAGATTCTACAACATTTATTATTTTAGAAATAGCTTGTCTCATAGTTTTTCTAGTAGCTTTCAATTTAACAATATCGTCTGCCATAATAACAACAAAAATAATTTTATTCGTTTACCTGTGCAGTCTTCAAATAGTTTAATCCTAATTTAGTAACTCACTTTACTGGTGAAAAGCATTCACAAGTATTCTGAATGTTTATCCTACCACGTTCAGTGCCGAGGAATAATATTTCAATAACATGAAAAAACACTGCATTCTAAATCAAAAAACTGTTCGTGCGCAACAGTTTTTTTTTCCTTTGAGAACATACAGACTCCCCGTGCACCACATATGTACAACATGGGGCTTACAGAAGTAAGTTAACTAGAACATTAAAGGGTTACATGTATAAATAAACATTAAAAATTACATGCATAAATAAAGCGAACAAAAGCAGAGAACAGCAGTCTGGACTTCACGAAAACAGATAAGTTCACTGGCCAAGTCACTCCGAACATTTTCAAATCGTTCTGTAAGCATAATCTAGGGCCATCAAATGTAGGGCACGAGAAAATCAAATGTTCCACATCCTGAGGAACTCTTTTTGAACATTCACATAAATTGTTTGATCGTAGATTAAAACGAAACAGATAACTTGCAAATTTACCGTGACCTGATAAAAACTGAGACACTTTAAAATTTAACGAGAGGAAAGACTCGGAATTCAGTCTATGGTAAATAGAAGGAAGGAACTTTTTGGTGACTTCCGCATTACAAGATGAAATGTATTCCTCATTCCACATAGCTAAAAGCTTTTTATAATGAAAGGACTTCCAATAACTCTTTGGAATGCTAATGTTGATATCAATGGGTAAATTTAAGGCATCTTTAGCTAAGAAATCAGCTCTTTCATTTCCGTAGAAACCATGATGAGCACGCACATAAGCAAAGCAGATATCAATACCTCTAATTCTAAGTGAACTAACAGTTACTAGGGTTTCGATAACTAATTTATCGCAGCTGGTAATACTGTTCAAAAGTTGAAGAGAAGAAAGAGAATCAGAACAAATAAGGTACTTTGAGGATGCTGTCCCATGATCCTGGATCCACTTGACGGCAAGATAAATGCACAGAAGTTCTGCTTGAAAAACTGTACATTCATTCCGTATATACGGTGTCTAAGAAACAAATCTCGGAATTGCCTTCAAAAAGAACAAATGCAAGGCCAACCTTGTTGTTCATCTTGCTGCCATCTGTAAAGAAAACCATATGAAAATTTTATATCAGCAGTCTCTTTATAATCGCAGAAATTTATGGGTTCTAAAGAAGCGGGATGAGGAAGATCAGTGAAGGGGACAATTCCATTAATACAGTCTTCCGAAGCATGAGTTGCCAATGACTCAAAAATATTATTCTTATATGCAATTTCAAAATCAATAGGCGGAACTCCTGCAAGAACAAAAGTAGCCTCATAGCTTAAGGTTCTATAACCACTAATAATACGAAGAAGAATTCTCCGTTGAATCTTTCTTAAATTTCTTTTGTTAACCTTCTTGGCAAGAACATGTCCCCAAGCACGACAGCCGTACGAAATGAAAGGTAAAATACACTGCTTATACATGAGTTTCTTAACATCGTAGCTTACTCCAAAAGTATTTTTGGCAATTCGGTGAAAGCCATTAATAATTTTTTCACATTTAGCAGAAAGGAATTCAATGTGCTTTTTCCACGTTAGTTTTTGGTCAAGAATGACACCAAGATATTTAACATTTTCTACAAATTCCAACGGAGAATTATCGAGCATCAAAGAAGCAATATTTTGTTCATCAAACGTACTGGGAACAAGCATAACTTTACTTTTTGAAGGATTGAAAGTGAGTTTATGAGAAATCGCCCAACTGGAGACAAAATCTAGAACTTCTTGTGCTCTCAAAAGAATGTTATTCAAAATCCTTCCTTGGAAAATTAATAGTAAGTCGTCTGCAAACGCAATTTTTAAACAACCGTCGAGATGACTTAAAAGATCATTTATGATTATGTTCCAACAGTTGGGCACCAAAAATATAAAATATTATACCATCGTCCGAAAACTAAACTATTCGTGGAACTTTTACCCTCTCGATCATCATATGGTAAAATTAGTAAAAAAAAGGGGGCGTTAAATACACGAGTAAATACGGTGTGTAACTTTTGCACAGGAAATAGCAATATTTATAATTCAGTTGCATGTCATAAAAAACCGCACTGAAGAGCGTCGAACTATAAAAAATATTAAATATCTGTATGTGACTTAAAGAGGGTCATAACTTGCAGTGTAAACGCACATCTACATTGCGAGTGTAAAATTGTGAACAGCAGTTGATTTGTTAATTATAGCAAAGAACTCGGTACGTTCCTTAAATAATGTCTTGGAATCCGTGAAAACACTTGCTTGTGTTCACTGATTTTATCCACTGTTCCACTGAGAATGAAAACACCCGCTGCCATACGACGTAATAGATGGAATTAGTAGGATTCATAGCTTTTATTTCGTATTTTTTTCCTTTCCCCTCTAGGAAAATGTTAGTGTTCCTTCGTAATTCAGTTGTAGCTGAAATATGCTTAGTCGGCTACCTAACCCGTACTACAAGCATCTATTTCTAAGTTTTAGAGTACAGTTAATTAAAATATTCTTGTATTGTATGTGATAAAATTAATAAGTAGGTTCTGAGATCTGAGAGCATCTTCAGAGAAAATAATCTGAAGTAGCAAATGAATGAAACGTTTTAATTTAAACACTTTAAGGCACATTTTTGATATGCAACCTTTTTGCTGCTTTAACCCAGATGAAAATTAGTAGAAATAATTTCATTTGATGAAAAGTATCCAACTATTCTGTTTAAAATTAAGCAAAATTCAATATCATATTAAAGTTGTTTTATAGAAACATTCAGCGAGTTTCCCTCTAAAACAAGCATTTATTAAAGTCTAGAGTTAACCTAATTAATGTAGTTTGCGTCTGAATAACTTTCTGTCATTGCGCGTATTCATATAATACTTATTACAATAAATCCTTTCTTTTTTATATTCAATTAAGGAAAGGACACATTTGAGAAGATTAAAAATTATAGCTTTTATTCGCACAACTTAAAGTTTGGTAATTTTTTGAAAAATATTCAATTTTTCTGTACTATTTAAACTTAGTGTTTAAATTAAAATAAATTACTGTGTCATAATGAATTTATATCAGTATGCAATTTTTCATATTTCACAGTTGGCTTTTATCTTTTACCCCTCTTGTGTATGTGTTTTACGAAGTCAGAAAAATTGAAAATTTTGAATAGTTGTTTGAAAAATAAAGCATAACTAACTAATATGTAATCAGTTCTTATGAGGTATTATGATTTTCCTCTTTTATGTAGCTTATATATGAACCTTATATATATAGATCATATTTGTTACCTCATATATGTAATTCATATATGTAACGGATGTAAATTTATGTTTGTGTTGTTTATATATTTTTTTTCCTTTTTTTCCTTAATTTTTGTAGTCCTATCTCCTTCCTTTTAAACCAGTGCTATAAAAAACTTATCTGAATGTGATACCTCAAAAATATTCATGTGCAATAGACGCCACTTAATGGGATCGCGGTTAATGTCATTATTCGGATAATCGAATTGCCGAAGTCCCATGCGTTTAAATACAAAAACGTGGAAACTATATCGCGAATTTTGATCAACAGTTCTTCTAATATTATTCAAATATTATAATTTTTTAAACTGAGGTAAGGTCTCCAGTCAAGTTTAAAATGCATTATAAATATTTCTAAGTTACAGAGAAACCTGGTCAAGGAACAGATTAAGTCTCCGAGCATATTAGTTGCGATTTTAGTCAACCATTTGAAATCCGGGAGGGGGGACTTAGTTTGACGCAGATTTTTCAATCACTCTATCGATTCTGTTTGAATCAGACTCAGGTCTATCTTCTTCAAGAGCAGAAAAGTTGTCTGTGGAATTTTCTTTTCCTAAAAACATCTACGCCAAGCTAAGGTTGCTTTTTCGCGTAATTTTAAATTTTACATTGGCGAGTTCTGTTCCAGTGAGGTTTGCTCTCCGAGTATTAATTATACAGCTTCGATCAAATACTTTCCAGATATGTAATGAACAAAGTATGAACAAACATTTCCTTTTTCCTAATTAAAATGCTGTAAAAGTGCCTACTTGTATGTTTCTTGATTTTTTATAGTAAAGTAGTTAAATTCCATTGCTGTTTTGAAGGATATTTTTTCTCATCGTTTGATGTTCTCAACATAGCCGTGGGTAAACGTTATCGCATTAAGCGGCGTCTACTGTATTTTAAAACTTAGTGTTAAAAATCTGTTACTTTGTATTTAAAATGTATTTATTTATTTATTTATTTTATAGCTAAGGTATAAAAGACGCGTGTACAAAATGATGAATGTTGAAGAAAAGCAAATTAAGCAGCTCCACACCAGAGTGAGTTTTTTCCCCTTGTGATTCTTTTAAAAATTTATATGAAATTACTGTCGTATTTTAATCTTATGTTAAATAATTTTTTAGCATTTAAAAAAACTTAAACCCTTTAAAATGGGACAAAACCCTCAGCTCAAACAATAATTATATCGACAATTTAAGCATTACAATTGCACTTTTTATTGTGTTAAAAAGCATCAGGAATATTCTCAGTTCAGTCCACAATTAATTTCCCATTATGTTTGTTTTTTATGACCTAGAGGCAATTTTTATATATAACAGATATGTGAGAATTCTGAAGCAGGTTTAAAATAAAGCAAAATTCAATCCTGTATTATCACTAAGTTTAAAAAAAAAGTGCTGTATGTAATGTGAGCGATTACCGATTCACGGACCGTTGTTGTACAAATACAGAATTCGTTAATTATGGTATTGATTAACTTAATTATGGTTAACTTAATTATGGTATTGATAATTATTTGGTCTGGAAACATGATCATTTGCTAAACAGCTTAAATTTTTGTTAAATGCTTAAACTTAACAAAGCTAATGTTAAAATTATAAATTCCGTTACTTTTCTGCATATCCAGTATGGAAGTGCGAGGTTGTATATATGTGTGTGCATGTATACGTAAAGAAAATTTTAATCTGGATGTCCTAGAACATGATGTAGCTGATGCATAAAAAGACGTACTCACACTTGTAGTTGTTTCAATACTCCTTTTTTTTTTGTGACAAAACATTTTTGATACGCAGCTAAATCAGTGCAAGAGTTGCGCTCATTCTTTAATTATTAAATTAGTAATTTAAAAGTTTTTATAATTTATTTGAAGTAAGAAAGAGAAGCGGCTAGGAAGAGAGAAAAGTTGAGAAGAAATGGGTAAATTCTAGTATGGATTCTAGTATGTAATTCTACTAAAGTTATAGTTCTTCGTTTTTTTAATTGGTTAATTAAGGTTTGGATTCCCAAAATTTAATATTATAATTGGCTAAAAGACCTTTGCCTGTATGTAGTTACAGGCGTCATGAGCATTATATAATACTAGATATATGTATATATATATATGTATACATACACTTATATAGCGCTATAATCTTATTTAATGCATGTTCTGTAAGACAGAAATTAATTTTGAATTTATGTAGCTTATGTAGCTTATTATGTAGAAATTAGTATGTCAGAGAGATTTATTTATAAGCATGTTACTGTCTTATGGTAAAAAGGTAAAATAACCAAATTAAAGAGCAAATTTGAAAGGCTATTGCAAACTAAAATTACTATTCTATCGTGCATACATTTATTTATTTCCATGCATATGCATATACGTATATATCTGTTTAAATTTGGCAACGTGTTTAAATTTCTAATTGCAAAATTCCATTGGCCTTTACTTATGGAATATGCGTTAGAAGCCCTTAACTTTGAGCCAGTCTCATATAAGTTGAAATCATTAATAGCTAGTATAATTTGATAATCAAATCCTGTAGACCTCTAGAGATACAAATCAAAAACCCTATAGTCACCTGCTTTCAACGTGAAGAAAGGTATTTTCTACACTCCTCTTCGTCTAGCGAACGTGCAATCTGAAAGCTCCCTTTTTATGTTAGATAGGCTTAGGCTCTGATGTGCAGATTTGACGTTCTGCTTAAAGCGGTGCTGTCGTATACACTTTCTTTTTCTTATTCTGAGAGGGTTTTCTTTTTCTTGTATAACATGAATACAGGCCCATTTCTCTTAGAAAATCTTCAGGGAAGTTATCCCTCACCTTAGGCAGGTAGCCCTGGTATGTTTTACCATAGACAATAAATTCTGTCCAGTTATAAGAGATTAGTCTAGATTCTTTTTCGTGAAATGTTGTTTTTGTTTCATATGGCTTTATTCGTAAATCGATCCATTACATCAGACCACTTACCAAATGTAAAACATTAAATTCAAAATTACATCCCGAAAATATTAAAAACACTTAAAAATTACAGCACTAAAATTCCAGTCTTTACAATACCAAAAAATTAAGATATAAAAATTTCACAATTAAAATCTTAAAAATCAAAGAGATTTATTGTATATTGTAACTTAGGGTCAAGGTCCGAAGAGACGAGCAAGTGCTGCTTATTCATAATGTCTGTTTTACAAATAGGGCATTGGCTACCATGCCTATTCTGCTGAGGTGTTCGGCTAAGCAGTCATGCCTTGTACCCAGTCTGAAATTAGCCACAACCTCTCTACGTGGCCTGCTACTGAACTCATTCCAGTCATTCCTGATATTCTCGTAGAGTTTCCCCTTCGATTTAATTGATATTTCTGTGCTGAAAGCTGACATAAGATTCTCTCAAATGCTTCTTCTAAGGAAATCCAAAGGAAAGGAACTCTGCTCGATAAATAGCTCCGTATCCCACTTTGTCAAGAGATCTCGTTTTTCATTGCCATTAGTATCTACGTGAGAGGATATCCACCGAAAACATCGTGGCAAATACACTGGTGTGCAAAAATTAAGGACGAGACGGTTTTTTCAATACAACTTTGTACAAAAGCTTTCCAAATCAACACATTTAATACCGTAAAATCCCCAATACGTAAGGACATGAGTAATGTAAGCAACACTTACTAAAAGAGAAATCAGAGGGATAAAAAGAAGCTTTATTGAAAAAGTAGCATGGAGCGCAATGCGACTGAAGGCCGAAACATCCCTGTGATGGGTGTCCAGAAAGAAACATCCGGTCTTTAATAGGGGATATTATCTCCCCTGACTGCTAGGCAGGTTTCACAGCGACTGCCCATGCTGAGAATGAGGGTGTCAATGAGTTGTTGAGGCACTGCTGCCCATTCGTCTTGCAGCGTCAATCGAAGCTCCGGAATCGTTACTGGTGGTAAGGGACGAGCTGCCAAGCGTCTGCCTAGAAAATCCCATACATGCTTGATGGGATTAAGATCCGGAGATCGTGCCGGCCAATCCATACGTTCAATATCCTCACTCTCTAAGAGCTGTTCGGCAGCTACTGTGCGATGACATGGTGCATTGTTGTCCATGAAAAGGAACTGCGGACCCATAGCGCCTCTAAAAAGACGCACATATGGAAGCAGAATCTCGTTACAATAACGGGTCCCGTTGACTGAACCTGCGTCGAAGATGTGAAGGTCTGTACGACTACCCAGCATGATGCCTCCCCAAACGAGAACACCGCCGCCATAACTGTCCCTTTCAATGATGTTCGAGGGATGATTGCGGCTTCCCCGCTCTCTCCAGATGAGTATGCGATGAGAATCGCTACTCAGACTGAATCTGCTCTCATCTGTAAAGAGTACTCGTCCCCATTCATTGTCTCTCCAATTCCGGTGTTCTCGGCACCACAGAGAACGCCTTCTCCGATGGGCAGGCGTTAGAGGTACACACCGTACAGGGCGTCGTGCAAACAGACCACCACCGTGCAGTCTTCTGGCCACGGTAAAACGCGATATCGGTCGTCCAGTCGCCTGTGTCGTGTGTCTAGCGATTTCTCCCGCTGTCTGCCGCCTGTTTCTTCTGGCCTGTAAGGCAATATACCGGTCATCTGCGGGTGTGGTTCCTCGTGGACGACCACTACTAAACCCCCGGATAGCTGTTCCTGTAGTTTGGAATTGTCTCCAAAGTCGTAAAACGATGCTGTGAGCGATTCCGAAACTCTGAAGCCACACTTGTCACACTGCGGACTTCCTCCAGCTTCCCAATGATTCGACCTCGGGTAGAAGCATCCAGATGTCGTCTAACAGATTGATTATTCGCCATTTCTCGCTGAGGCAGCAACTCGGCGTGATTTTAACTGCTATACGGCGTGCAATCTCTTTGCCAGAAATACTGATCTTACACCGACAACATGCTTTATACTACTCAGATACTCCCCCATTACGTCTACCTGCATATCTGCGCATGTGCTACCGTACATCACCTTACTTAATCTCCTGATTGGTCTTTCTGTCCGCTCTGCCTCTTCGTTCAGCTGATATGCTAATTTTTCGACTTCGTCCTTAATTTTTGCACACCAGTGTACATCGCGGGAGAAAACAAAGCAAGAAGTAAACATCGCTTGTAGTGCAAAACATCGTCATCGAAAATAAAGCGGTTCGGAAACTTCGCGGTTTATAAAAACATCATCGTCAAAACTATCGTGGTAAAAAATAAAGCACCTACAAATCATCGAATGACGATAACAATGCAGACATGGGTTTCTCAGGATTTAAAAGTTATAAATGCACGTTCGCATAATGATTTGTGAGCTGAAGAAGGAATGAAGGATATTTTTACTTTTATTTTTCATATTTTTTAATTAATAAATTTTTGCTGAAAAAATAAGAAGGATATTCAGAAATTAAAAATGAATTGAAAAATAAGTCTAGGTTTAGAAATTAATAGAATTTTAAGCTAATATAGTTAAAAAATAAAGGTCATTCATTTTAATTAAACTTTTTTAAGTTTTATTGGTAATTTTTCATGAAAAATATCGTCTAAAAACGATTAGAAAAAGGAAGGTGAACTGCCTGTGTTTACCTAATTAATCAAATTCTGTCAACTGCTGTAAGTAGCATTAGTTTTGTACTTATTTTCAGTTTCTGGCTAATTTTCAGTTTCTGACTGATTTTCAGTTTCTGAATGCTTCAGTTTCCTTCTTAATTTTTTAGCAAACATTCATTATTTAGTTCAAAAATATAAAAGTAAAATTAATCCTCATTTCTTCTTGCGCTATGCGCCGGCAACTTTTAAAGCTGAAAAATGCATGTACATGATGTTATCGTTATGCGATGATTTTAGGTGATTTATTCTTTACCACGATGTTTTCGATGACTTATATTTTTAAACTGCGAAGTATTTGAATAGCTTTATTTTCCACGGCGATGTTTTCTTCTTGCTTTGTTTTCTCCCACGATGTTTTGTACGACGGCGTTTTCGCCTTACGTTGTTTTCTCCGCGACGTTTTCCTTCCCGATGTTTTTGATGCGCGTTTTTCTCCCGTAACCACGTGGGATGGTA